TTGATTTAAAACACAGCAGATACATAACTAGTAACTTACTCTAGCCTCAAAGTTTGCTGTTAATCTTTATAAATACATTCTGGTGGTTGCTTTAATGATAAAGTTTGGTGTCACTGAACATATGCTGGAACTGCATCTTAGCTGAAGGAAGATGTTAAAGATGAAAATATTTAACTAGATTAAACACAATCCAGTAAAATTCAAGACGTTCAGTTTGGTTAAAATCTGATTAAAGGCAATCTTTCTGTAAAGATCTTAACAGCTTTTGCTGTTGGAGTAAAAGCTGTTATCAACTCTATATTTCCTGGTAAGTGGGAGTAACGCATACCCCCCCCCCCCTTCAACTGAAAAGTAAATAACCATGTAGTAGAAACAAATAGTTGATCTGCCATGGGAAAAGAAGCTTGATTAGGGCTCTTCCATTCCTCGTAATATCTTTTAACTTGATAGTAAAGCTATGCACATTTAGGCAAGTTGTTTTTCCATGACTTGTTTTTATTGAATAACTACAGTGAAACCAAACCCTCTCAGTCCGTGTTTTGATTTACTATATACCTTCCATTCCTAATAGCTCTCCACAGGGTTGAGTTGAGATGAGTTAGGAGTTTCTGAAACCATAATTTCACATTTGATACTTGCACTGATACATCTGATAGAGCTTTGCCCTGAATAGGAATCATGGTGTTGAAAAGGAATGCTTCATTACCAGAGGTTTGACTTCATTTTCAGCCCTCAATAGCTCATGGACGTCTAACCAGTGCAACTTTAACAATACCAGCAAGCTTTGAAAAACATCTGGGCTCTTTCAAAATGACTAGAAACCCAAATTTACAACTAATACAATACAAAATCCTTCACAGTGTTCCCCATAAAGGTCAAAGATTATTCATGTTGGTCCTATTGAGTGGTTGGCACAGGGGCCCTCCACCTGTCCCTTGCCCCAGGTGGTGCTGCTGGAGGAGCCCCCTCTTCAGGTGGGTTTTTGGGGAACGAAAGAGCCTATCGGAGTCAGTAGGGGAGCTGGCTCCCTGGGAGAGCATGAGGCTCCTCAGTTCTTCCCTCCCCATCCCCAACTCCTGGCTCTGCCTGCGCCATCATGCTGCCACACATTTAGGACCTTGGGGAGGGGGGAGTTGTTGGAGGATACCATTTTAAGTTGACGTCCCACACCCCAATTTTATTATGCATCTTAAAATTTTTCATTTACAACATTTTCACAACACACATATGAGTAGCGATCTGTTTTGGGGAGGGGGTAAAAACATCTTGGAGACTGTAAGCTCCAATAACACCACTTGCTTTGTTGAGTCAGATGTTAAGACCAGATCTCGCTGCAGCATCATCCTTGCAATGTGCTCTGGGAACTTTAACTGCCTCCAGAGGTCCACATGCAACTGCCATTCACGAGCCATTGCTAGCAGTCCAGTTGCGGCCTTACCTTCCTCCCCTTGGTTTCTCCGCTGCCCTGACAAAGAAGATATTGTGTCTCAAGGGGGACTGATGCTTTGACTGCCGTATTCCGATGCAGATGGTGTCTGCTACTGCCTTTCCCTTTCCTAGCGCTTGAGGGCAGCAGGTTAGGATGTGCTCCAGGGAACCATGAGTCGTGCACAGTGGGTGAAAGACAGTTGGGGCTTCTGCTAGGCCCCAGGTATAAAGGTTGGATGGACAGCATACACCGACTGTATCAGGAACTTCAATCTGGATTTTTAGACTCCCATAGTTCTGTCCATGTGATCGTCCGGGCAAATGCATGGTCCCAATTGTTCCAGGCTCCTTGCTGGTGCATTGCCACAGTCCTACTTTGGCGTTTCTTCTCCAACTCTACACAAATCTCTCCCTGCACCATATGGCGTCGCTCTCATCCTCGGGCTTGATCGTAACGTGGCTTTGTGTGGCTACCTAGACCAGGTCGTTCAACAAGAGCCAACTTAGACTATGTCTCGGTCTCCCTTCTGCTTGGTCGACTGCCTGTTGTGCTCGCCATTTTCTCCCAGTTCTGACTGAAGCTGGCAGAATCAATGAATGATTACTTTATTTTGGTTTAAAAACAAAAAATAGATAAACTGTCAGGGTTTCATTGTGGTTTGAGGACCCAAAATGCAGAGGCAGAGAGGCTGAGGAGATTTCTTGCAGTTTAATGGGGCAAAAAGTAAACTAATAATCAAAAGCAAACCAGAATAATGGAGACATCAGGGAAAACCAAACACGAGGAGCCAGGGAGAGACGAGGTAGGTGGACAACAGCATGGGAAGACAGCAAAGACAAGGAACCAACAAAGAGTGAGAGCAGAGGGAGAGCATATATAGCTGACAGAGACAAAGGCAGGGCTAACGAGCTGACAAGGAGCAGGTGTGAGAGGAGACAACGAGGGAGCCAAGGGGAAAGGAGCACATACACACACAAGAGGGCAACAGAGGACAACAGAAAAACATGAGAACTAACATAAATCTAGAAATTACAACAAAAAAGGAATTAAACCAATAAAACTAGGAAACATAGAGCAAAGTAAAGCACAATAGAAACAAAACAAGGACATAAACATTTTTTACAAAAGAATCCATCAGAAAGCAATCGAAAAAGGAATGGGCTGATGCCCCGAGGCTTATTATTGATTATCCTGTACCATCATAAGAATAATTCACAATAAAGCATTGGTACTAATACATAATTACAAAACACATAACTTCAACTGAAAAATCAAAGTCAGTCAAATTTCGTCGTAACCTTTAATAATTTTAGATTTTAAAGTCTTCTTGAAAACTAATATATGGTTACACATCTTTATCTAATTGTTTAGTCCGTTCCATAATTTTGCACCCAAAACTGACACACATCTGTACTTAGTTTAGTTCTAGCTTTGTAAGTTTCGAACATTAGTGACCCCTTTAAGTTATAAATCCCCTGCCTTATCTTAAACATGGATTTTCTTATTTACCACTCATAACATAATTTCTAATATTTTTAAATATACAATGTCCGGGAAATTTTATGTTTGTGATGTTATTAATAGCTGACTTGTAGAATCATGAAGTCCAACTCAATTTATTATTCTAATAGCTCTTTTCAGCTGTTTAATTATTGGATCTAAATTCCTTTTATATACATTTCCACAAATGTCAGCACAGTATGTCATAAGGCATCACAAGTGAAAAGTACGGCAAATGAAGAAAATTCTTACTTTACATATTTTATGTGAGACTTCCAACAAACTTTATCATCTATGACTACAGCCAAAAGAATAGTTGTATATACTCTTTCAATTTCAGCATTGTTTAAACCCAGTTATACATCAGTGTTAGTCCTTTTGCCACCAAACAACATAAGTTTCGTTTTACTTTCATTTAATGATAACTTATTTAAAGCAAACCATTTGTTTAACTTCATCGGTTCTATTTCTACAGTTATTAACAACTCCTTTATGTTCCCTCCAGAA